AATAAAAAAAAAAAAAAAAAAAAAAAAAAGCATTCAAATGTTTCAAAATTTAAAAGAAATTATGAATTGCAAGAGCGGGTCCGCTTAAAATTGCCACGCAAAGCATAGACATAACAGATTCCTACAATATTCCCTCCATTCTTCCCGCCTTCCATTTCTGTCCTCTCCCCCTTCGCTTTTCGATCTCCTTCTTCTCTGCATTTTCAATTCCTATCTCTTCAGATCGATTCACGGAGTTGGATCGGAGATGAAATCTTTTTCAGAGCGATTCACAGAGTTGGATCGGATATGGACTCTTGTTCAGAGCGATTCTTCCCAGTAAATAGCCGATCCAACTGTGTGGATGGAGTTGTAGTGTTGATCTTTTCGCTGAGGTACTGTTTATGTTCTGTATTGGTTTATTGAATTGTAATGCGTTTGAAAATGTTGTGTTTGGTAGTGAAATTCTTCCTTGAAGCTTTTTGCCTTTTGTTGAGTTTTGAATTAGGTGATTAGTTTGCGAGTATGTGATGTTGTCGTTATAGTTCGACTTTAGTTTATTTTTACGGTTCGAGTTTGTGGAGCTTTACTTGATCGTTTCTTTAGTGGCTAGCAGATTTTGGTTGATTTGGTCAATGTTTTCAAGGTTGGTAAGGTTTGTGTAATGTTGAATGTTGAATGCTTTTCTTATTGCATTGCCAACCTTAAATGCTGCTCATACTCTGGTTCCAGAATTTATTACTCTGTGTATATCATAATCTTTTATGGTTATGGAAGTTTATACAATGCAATATACTGCTGAGAGAATGAACCTGAAACATCTGTACGATCGGGTTGATTTTCTTTTGCAGATGGTTACGAGTGCATTATGGATATCAGGGTGCTGTGAGATCTTGTGTGATGGAAAACTACTAAACTATGTAAAAGTTAGATTCCAAACACAGAACATGAAATTATTTACATTTGTTTCAATTGTATTTGTGTTCATAACACCGTCATTTATCATGAGAAACCTGACTAATTTCAGGACAAACAATTTGGAGAAAGAATCACCTTTCAAGGTTACAAATTCTGACACTAAATCCTTGTAGCAATCTTATGTGTACACCATAAACACACCAACATTAATCATCCTCTTCATCAAGCTAGAAACCTTTCCAAGCATTAAGAATTTCATGGAAGATCTCAGCTATTAGGTCCCTTTCTGCATTTTGCAGAAAGACATTGAATTCATCTCGGATGTCGAGTATCTTGCCAAACTTCACAAGATACTCCATGCAGCTGGTCTTCAGTTTTGGCAATTGATAAAGAGATGCATTTTGGAGTCTTTCAAGAACATTTTTGGCATCAATATCTTCTAGCAGACTATCATGGCAGGCTTCTTTTAGGTCATCTATGTCATATTTATCAGCTGCATGAAGAAGTGCCAGTCTATGGACGAGAAACTCTTCATGTTGGATATTACCATACAGATAATTAAGAAGTGCCTCGCAAGCTTCAAAAGACATATCAGAGATGTTTATTGTAGATAGTTCCTTTTCTTTCAGGTCATGTGAAAACATGCTGTGGAAAACAGGTGATCGTGAAGCAAGAATAGCACGGTGTGCTCTAACACTTCCATCAGATGCATTAATTATGATATCGGTGTGGATGCTTTCCTTCAACATTCGACCCAATGAAATAAGAGCTCTTGAATTCGATCGTTGTTGTGTCAATCCATCCGCCCAGATGGAGGAAGGTTCCCCACCCTGTTAGTAATTTGACAACAATGAGTTAAAAGAGGAGCGAAATAGGTATTCAATCGTTCTTTCTTTAACACAGGCGTTGATAACTTTTTTTTTCTTAATCTTAAGGCATAACTTTTATCAACTGCTTCTGCATTTGACTTGTTATTATCTATGATCCTTAGGTTCTGTGTTATTATAGCCAACTCCACAATCATCTTTGGAAGAAATATGCATGCACTAGCAACGGACAAATATTTATATGCTTACCTCGGGTGAGGCAGTCTTCAAGTCAAGGAATTCGACATCAATAATGAACTTTCCCGTTAATGGAACTTCAATTGGCCAAATAAAGTCGTCGTTGTTTTTAAGCTGTTTGTCTATTATTTCTGCATAGAGGAAGATGAGGTAACGTTATTGGTCATTAGAGGAACTGAAGGTCATCAAGAAAAGAAGAAGTTTTTAATAAAAGTCCAACAACAAATCAAATTTCTGAACAGAGATTAGCCATGTTCCCCATCAAATAATTACGGATGTCTAATTTTATTTGGGTGAAGTATTTCAACTTTTATTCATGAATCAGAACCTGAAGATATAATTGAAGGTGAATGTCTTTTCAATCTGAAAACTAACTACTCTGTCTTGAAAATGTACAGGAAAGGAGAAGGAAATTACCTGGATGAGTCAAAGCCTTCCGATCTCCTACAGAGGAAACCACTCGGATGATGAAAGATACAATCGGGGGATTGGCCCTTGTTACGCTCGTTATCTCTGGGTATAATTTAACATATAAAAGCTTGTTTTTTTCCACCGATAAATGCCTTCATCCAAACAAAAATATTAGATATCTATACATCCCTATCCTGTTTGGATAGAAGAGAAAAAAACATGCAACATCTCCAATTAGAAGGGGGAAAACAGATTATTGTCATTATCTTCCATTTTCTCTTCTTTTGAAGAGATGGCTAGGATCTTATCCTCTCCTTTCGTCACCACATACAAATCAGTTTCTCTTAGGATAACTGGGTATCGATTTATTTAACCTTATTTCACAAAAATGTAGCTTTAAACGAAACTAATGAACAAAGAAAGATTAATTTACCATTTCCACTTGCCGATTTTGAAAGGATCGGATTTGCGGTAGGTGCAGGAAGCTAGATTTTCGATCCTCCATTGGGCAAGACGGGATGTGGTTTCTACCCTGTATGCTGAGTCACTCATCCTGGCGAACGCGAGGGCTGCTGTGATTTCATTGATGCAGCCGAAGATACCGTCTAGGATGTGCTCTCCGGACTTTCCCAGGTTGACGAATTCTGCAGATATTACTCATAAACATATACAGAACAAAACCTATAAAGATAAATACTCTCTCTCTCTCTCTCTCTCTCTCTCTCTCGCTCTTTTCTGCACTGCTCACTGATCAAAGCATAAGAATATATGAGCGAACAAATGACGTTGATTCTTGTGTATTTATTGCTTTTGTTATCTCATGAAATTTGACGCTTTCAGTGGTACCCAGCACGCCAAGATGTTGTCGATGCTTTACGCCATTGTTCTTGAAGGTTTGATTCTGTGAAGAGGGTTTTGTTGTTTGGTTGATAGACGAAATGGGTTTTAAAACGCTTGTTTGTTGGCTTACACTGCACTTAATTGCGAGGGCGTATCTGGGTCGTGGGTGGTTGGATCGTAAAGCTAATGGATCATTTATTGGTCTTCTTTTATCTTTTTGGGTTTTCTTTCCCACATTGATATATGTCAATCTTGTTTCAGCATTTGGCTTGGAGGCGTGGTCTTTGCTCCTTCAAAGCAAAGTATCTACTTAATCCTTTATGGGGACTTATTTGTCATTTCCCGAGGAGTTGATTGTTGGCGAATCATGGAAACACCAGAAATAAGAAAAGCCCACTCTGCTTTCGTGGACCCCCGTCATGGAGGTATTTATCTTTTTTCCTCACTCTATTTATCTTCTTGCTGTCCTTTTCTGGAGGCCAATGATGGTCTCCTGACGCATAGTAAGCCTCCGCAAAAGGCAACAACTAAATCCATGCTGTTGTTGAAAATGCTCTCATCTAGAATTCTTACCTCGATTAATTAATTTATGAGACGATTTAGTAATTAAAGTAAGAAATAAGTTTAGTTACAAATTTAGTATATCTTAAAAGATAGTTTTAGAAGATGTGTGTGCTGAGCTTTTAGTTATTTTTTTTATTAAATTTTTATTTTTAAAAGCATCAATAAGTCTTAAAGCTTTGGATTATTTCTACTGAAAACTTAAAAACTAAAATACAATAAAAAAAACTTATTACAATTTTAAATTTAAAGAAGGAAAGGTTGATTTAAGTTGAAATTTATTAAATATCTCTAAAAATTAAAAAATAAACCTATATTTTAACCTAACATAAATATTAGATTTCATCATAAGAGTAAAACTAAAACTTGTGATTCTATAATGGTCTTGAGTTAGTGGTTAGTACAAAAGTAGAAGTAAAAAAATTTCAACCTTTCAACTTAGGAGTATTGGAATTATTTTGTATTGAGATTCCTAATCCTATTCCTATTCCTATGCATGTTTGTTATAGGAAACTTATCCGAACATACAAGAATAATTATCAAAATATCCCTTTAGTTCTAACCCATAAAAAACAGTGAAATTTATTTAAAAAGGAGGAAACCTTGTTAATTTTTTTTGTTGACGAAGAAAGGTATGAGAAAGTGGGACATGGAAAAGGAATCCTAAGGAATCTAGTTAAGCTGAAGAATCCCAAATTCCCAAGATTAGAAGCAACTTCCAAGCGCAATAGCCAACACACTCATCCTTTCCTTGTTATACAAAAGAACCCATTTAATTTGGTTGCGCAGAGGAAGGGTTATTGGATGGCCCATATGATCTCTCATCTCATCCATGCAGTTGGCACTCGTTAGCTTTCTGTCCTTTTCTACTCTGTCAAATCAAAAGACATCACTTTGAGCAACTTTGAGGGACGTGTTCTTATCATTTTCTGTACGTGTCTTCTTACCATTCAACTATTTATGATCTTATAACGAGGGCCACACCAATAATTCTTTGAATCATCAATCAAAAGTTTCTGCTTAGCACGTTTTGGATGACCATCCTGGGGTTCAAAACTTCAAACTTAGAAACCTTTTACTGTTAGCTTGAAACTTAAGTATTTGAAAAACGCGTTAAAAAAGTTGTTTTGGTTAGCCTTATATGCAACATTCTACTAGTAGCCTAGGAAAGGGTTACTGTATATACAAGAGTCTTTTTATTTTTGACGTAAGGTTTTTATTATCAGTCAAATATTACAAACGGATTACCTTTCTAATTAAATAGAAGAAACTCTTATCTAAATAAAAACAAGAGAACCAAAGTAGGTGAGTGAGTTAGTGTTTATTTTGTTATTTTAGAGAGTGTTAATAAATTTTCAATTTTTTATCAAATAAACTTAAAAAGGATTGTCATTTATTTAAAATCTACAAATTTACAAATACAAATGGTAAAGTTGGAGTTCTATAAGATATAGAATTCATATAATTTAATTTTGTAAATAGATTTCGGATTAATTAGAAACAAAATCAAAAGTTTAAAGATTTATTAGACAATTTTAAAGATTGAACGCATTTTAAATATAAAATTAAAAATTTAATACTAAACTTATGAGGCAACATAGTTGAATTATGATTAAGATAGGATGCTTACCTATGAGCATGAAAAATTTGTAGTTTTTAGATTGAGAAAAATTATACAAAGAAATCACACACAGATATGTGATGTTCGAGAATTTAAATATTTGACACATATGCTAATTAAGATATGTTTGAATAAATATAAAAATTACTATATTTATAGAATATATATATATATATAAATATTCTTGTAAATTTTCTAATAAACATGAAAGCTTCAACCAACCCATTGCAACATTAACATTAATTACTTTTTTTTTATTTTTCCTTTTCTTTTTAAGAATGAATATTCAACCTGTAAGATTATTGACTGGTGAAGTGCAAGGAAATTATAGTAAATGGGTGATGAATCTAAGGTCATAATTTAGGACACTGAATTATTATATTGGGATAAAGGGATCTTGAGATCTACACAATGCCAATGGGTTATTATTTAATATTTTCTTTAGTAGAATGGGACCCTAAACTTGCATCGTGAATTGGTGCTTTAGAAAAAATGACATAAAGTTTGGTAGTGGTAGATTCATCTAAATGGGATGCACTAATTCTAAACAAACACGCAAATTACTTTTGACGAAGTCTTTGTTTCCCAACTTTTCCAATTTCTATTAAATTTATTTTAAATTCGTATTTTGAGATCTTAGCCTTTATTACATATGCTTGGTGGTTCCCATAATGTGCTCACTTGGGAACTTGTTGCCCCAAACCATCTCAAGAGCCTCCACTGATTGAACCAATAGAATCCTTTGTTTAGCTCATTAATATAAGGCAAGGGAAAAAGGTAATCGATACTTCGATCGTGGGTTTGGACCTTAGTTTTTATAAAATAGTTGGATTTAGCCTTTGAAATCAGGTCTCCATTATGTAGCTAACAGGGATACTGTGTGTGATGACATGGTATTTGTTTTGCTTTAAAAGTGGTAGTTAATACAACTTGAGTGCAAACAATAGATGCTTGTGTTAGTGTAGACAATAGAAGCATTTTTTTTTTTTTTTTTTTTGTGAATTTTGAATAGTTATAAGCCATATATTTGTTTCTTAGACCTAAGCGTGTGTCAAATTAGCTAAGTTGAAATTAATTAGAGGGAGGTTAAAGTAAATGTTCTAGGCAGACAAATAGAAGAGAATGGTAACAAGAGATTGAAAATATGAGGAGATTCGAAAAATGTAGTAGAAAAGAGTATTTTTGCTTTTCTTTAGCCAATGAATAAATTTTTTTTATAATTCTATGTAGTTTAGATGTTTAGAATCATTTAAGTTTGATATGATCGATCTTGCTTTTGGAGTGTTTCGAATTTCAATCAAATGTTTTTGTCTCGAGATATTTGATCAACAAGGTAATCCAAATTTTACTTTCCCTTGGAGTGGTTCCTTATCCTCAAGGGTAAATGTTAAGGGGTAATTAGGTTGCATGTTTAGAATCATTCAAGTTTGACATGACCGATTTTACTTGTGGAGTGATTCAAATCTCAAATAAGGTAATTGAAATAATGATAAGAGAATGGTAAGAGGAGATAGAAAATAGGCTCAAATTAGGGACGTTTTGCATTGCATTGAAGTTGAAAGGAATTCCTTTGTTCCCTCAAACTCACACAACAACATTCAAAGTATCTTTCCCAAAGCTGTAGCTTAATTTCCACTAAACTACTGAAGTTCTTAGTGTGTTGCTAGTGTGCAGTAGGGTCAAATAGAAGAAAGAAACAAGAAAAAGTAGAACACTAGAACTAGGAGCTTCCAATGGTGCTTTTCTTCTTGTCTACAGTTCATTTCCCTAAGTATACACCTTGGGATTGCTTCCTCCCACTCCTTGTCCAAAAGAGTCTGCAAGGATAAATATCTTCTTCCTTTTGTAATAAGTGCACTCTTAATTGTTCTTCCCTCATCTGATTTAAGGAAGAAAAAGAGATAGTAAAGAAGAAAATAGCACTGAAACCGAATTTATAGTGTTTGAATAAATAGGCGAAAGAAGGTGAAGGAGCAAAGACGAAAACAAAGTATTCGAATAGTGAAAACTCGAGTCGGAGAGGTTTAGTAGTTCATTTAAGTTTTACCTCATTCATTTGAGTTGAGTCTTGAATTTCTCTTTATCATTTACTTCTTTTAAGTGGACAAAAGTGATTCAGCTGAAAAGAAGCCAACTCAATAAGAGTTGATTCAGCAAGTGAAATTTTGCTCCTAGAACTGCTTAAGCAAAGCTCAGGACACCAATTATTCTTCAATTGATGCTGAACTCTTGTTTCAGCAATTCATCTACGAAGAATAATGCTCCCTTCAAAACCTTTGCTGAAATGATGTTTTAGCAGGTCCTCTATTTCACAAAATATACTCAAAATCGGAACTTTCGTTCATTCATTCATAGTAACACGTAAATGTTCTATCATTAGCAGACTCAATTTGTACAAGAGAATCATATAATTTGAGCTCTAAAAGGGGGATCAAATTACTAAAAGATTGAAGGCTTCTAAGCTTATGAATTTAGCTAATAACTTTTATTCCAAGAGTTTAAACACATTCATAGAAAGTCTTGTTTAGATCTAGAGGAACGACGATCTTGTCGTTCGAGTCTGAATTGGTGATGAGGGTTGATGGAGGGAGAGGAAGAAGAAGAGTTTTTTTTTTTTTTTTTTTTTTTAATTATTACAAAAATGATGTCATTTGAGACACGTAATTAGTGAAGATGTTAATTAAGGGACTAAATTAAACGATTTTCTAAATTTGGAGGCGTAGGGTTATGTGAATTGAAATACATAGAAGATGAAATTAGAGATGTTCATAGAGTGTTAGATGAACATGACTCTCTCACAATGATACGATATTGTCTACTTTAAGTATAAGCTTTCAGAGCTTTGCTTTGGACTTCTCTCAAAGGTCTCGTACCAATCGAAGAAGTATTATTTGATTATAAATCTATGATCATTTTCTAAATTAGTCGATGTGAGACTTTTATCATCCAACATCTCCCCTCGAATAAAGTACACTTCCCTTTCCATGAGTTCCTCTAATTAATTTCGTAGAGATCATAGGATTGTGTTCTCCATTTAATTTTCTTTAAAAAAAATTTAACGACAGAATGATTTGTTTTTTTTTTTTTAGAAAAATCTCTATTTAAATGGTTATTTTCAAAGAAAAAAAAGTCTCGTTTAAAATAACAAAACATTTTTTTTTCATAAATAATTATCCAAAAAAATGGTTCCTAACCGGTTTCAGTACAAAGTTACATGATAAAATCTTAATGGTAGACCAAAAAAGAACTCCAAATTTATATCGAGAAATTTATAAGTTGCAGAATTCACCCTTTTTTTTTCTTTTTCTTTTTTTAGATTTTAATATAATTTTAGTCTATATACTTTTTAATTTTTATTATGTTTGGATTTTCAAAAGATTAATTTTAGTATTTATACATTAAAATTTTGTCTGGGTGGTTTCCAAATGTTTATTTTAGTTTTTGTATTATTGTCTTTTGTTTCAATTTTTTTATCACAATTTCAACACGGATTTTAATCAATCAAAACTTTGTCAAAACTATATATATACATATATATATATATATATATATATATATATATATATATAGAGATAAAAGTTGAGATGTATGATTGATATTTTTTTTTTATAACATTTGAATTTGAATTTATCTGACATTTCAAGTCCTCGATTTAATCACATTTTCTATGATCATGAATTATTCTCGAAATCCTCCCCCAATACTATACAATATAATCATTTCACTTTATTCAATGTTCTTCCAATTCTCATTAAAGATCAAACCTTCCATCTTCCCAAAATGCCTTTCCAGATTCTGTACTTGTTAATATATATATTACATTGTTGTTCTCAGATTTGATATCAATATGGGAAAGTCGTCCAGAAAATGGATAACGCATTACAGCAGCTCCCACGACATACTCCTTGTTGGAGAAGGCAATTTCTCCTTCTCAGCTTGCTTGGCCTCCGCCTTCGGCACTGCTACCAACGTGGTTGCCACTTCTCTCGACTCCGAAGGTACTTTATTCTTGAACAATATCCTTCCTCGACTTTTAAAAAACCATCATTTTGATCGATGTTATGTTGCTGTTGCTGTTTCTTTACCTTAAATTTGTTTCGCTTAATCTTCATGAAGAATTTATTAAGCTTAAAATCATTTTTGTACTTAATTTGTTATTATATATACTCGATTTTTTAAAGTTCTAGAGACCAAAGTAGTCATTTGAAGAATGAAATATTCTTTATAAAGGTGTGAAAATCTCTCTCTAGCATACGCGTTTTAAAAACTTTGAGAGAAACTCTGAAAGACAAAGTCCCAAGATGACAATATCAAAATGAAATGTACTTCCAGAAAGAGAAGGCATAAGCGTGGACCGAATTGAGTGCAAAAGGGTGGACCAAATTTAGTCCCTTTCATCCTGTGGTTAGGATATTGTCTTTTCATGTCGAAGAGACGGGTTCGATTCCCATAAGGGATAGGTACTCATTCCTGGCCACTTTCTCTTAGTGTGAATTTCTGAGTGATCGCTCGCTATCTGGCTGGAAAAGGTGGTCTGGAAGCTTCCTCTCTTCCAGCAAGCAAGATGAGATCACCACTTTTCTCAGTAATGGACTTCATTTCATCCTTCCCTACGTAGTCTTAGATGTCCTTTCATAGATTCTCGAACTTTTGATAGACGAAATCTCTATGCATGTGTGATTTTTTTCCACATCTCTTTTGGCCTAAACAATAAGATTTAGTTACCCTAACAACCAATATAGTTGAAGACCTAACAACATAGTTGTGATAATTTCTTCAACACTGTCGAATAATTAATGACCAACGATCAGATTTATAATTGCCCTTAATTACCAAAGATTAAGAAGACTTTTTGGAGACCAAAATACGATTTAATCTTAGTAGTTGCATGTTTTTTAAGGTTGTCCTAATTCGGTTTCTTAAAATCTAGCCTTTTTGTGTTGGTTTTGGTGTTTGTTTGTTTGTAAATAATTCAATAAATTTTGAAAAGAGACATTGTTGCGAAAGTACGGCTCGGACATTAAGACAACCTTGGAAGAGCTGAAGGAGCTGGGTTGCAGTGTGATGCATGGAGTGGACGTAATGACAATGAGCCAACACCCACTTCTCTGTCACACCTTGTTTGATCGCATTGTCTTCAATTTTCCTCATGCTGGTTTTCAATACTCCAGAGACAAATCAAGTAAGTACATATTCCCAGAAAATTATTGTTTTTTTTTTCCTGATAATTATTGTTTTTTGCAAATGGGTTGACTTAAGGTATGAGAAAGTGAGACGGATCTCCTCATGTTATATAGGCTTGGGAGATCCTTTTCGAACTAGTTTAGCCTTTAAACCTTTCTGTTCATTGTCATAGGTTCATAAAATTTCAACATTGTTTAGTAAAAATTCTTAACAAGTCTTTGAACAGTCAACTTTGCGAGTTTTCAAACTAGTTTAGCCTTTGAACTTTCCTGTTTATTGTCTCAAGTTCATAAAATTAGAACGTTGTTGAGTAAGAATTCTTAATAATTCTTCAAACAGTCAACTTTGCGAGTTTTCAAACCAATTTAGCCTTTTTGAACTTTCCTATTTATCGTCACATGTTCATAAAATTTCAATGTTTAGTAGGAATTCTTAATAAGTCTTCAAACCGTCAATTTTGAGATTGTTTTTAAACAAGTTTAGTCTTTGAACTTTCCTGTTTATTGTCACATGTTCATATAATTTCATCGTTGTTTCGTAGGAATTCTTAATAAGTCTTTAAACGATCAACTTTGCGTCTAAACGAGTTTTGACATATTTGATCTTTTAAGTTTAAGAACCTGTTTTACAAGAATTCTAAACTGTTACAAACCACGGACTCTCCACACACAATAGTAGGATATTATTTACTTTGAGAATAAACTTTCGTAGATTTACTTTTTGCTTCCTTAAAAAGTCTCGTACCAACGAAGATGTGTTCTTTTCTTACAAACTCATAATCATCCCCTTAATTACTCGATGTTGGGCTCCTCTTCCAACCATCCTCAACACACAAATCACTAAATCTTAAAAGTATCTAGCAAGTCCTTAAGCTTTCTATAACATTTATACCTGATTCGTGCCTCGGTTTTTCTTTTAACAGACTCCACCAGAATCTAGTGAGAAGATTTCTGAGAAATGCAAAAGAACTATTTGTCGAAAATGGGGAAATTCACATAACCCACAAGATTTCATATCCTTACAGTGAGTGGGAGATTGAGGAAGTTGCAGAAGAAGAGGACTTATTTTTAAGAGAGGAAGTAGAGTTCAATGAAGGGGATTATCCAGGTTATGTCAATAAGAAAGGCAGTGGGCCAAACAGCAACCGCACCTTCGCTGTTGGACTATGCAGCACTTTCAAGTTTGTGAAAACACTGTCCAAGAAAACGAGGAAGAAGAGGTTGGCCAAGGCTGCTGAATTTGCACAACTCAATGCTTCATCTATGAGTTTGAGTTAAGCTGGTTCGAGTCGAGAAAATTTTTAGTTCGTCCCAATAGTTTTGGAAATATTAGGCTTTTGTTGGTATTCGATCCTTTGTAATTAAGGTCGAGATTAGGCTTTTGTTGGTATTCGATCCTTTGTAATTAAGGTCGAGATTAGAAAAGACATCCGTGATTGCTTTGTTTGATATGCGTATGTAATAGAAGAGTTGTTTTGGTAATAGGTCTATTATAAGCAACATCGTACCCAACTCGTAATAGCTATAAGATTAGATTCTAAGATAAATTTGAGGTACTTTCATATTTTCTCTCTTTTACATTCGATCGTACAAAACTGTGTGAACATTGTGACGGAAGAATGAAATAAGAGAATTAGACTATTTTTAAAATTTTTTCTTTTTAAGTTTAACCATTTTTATTTAAAATTAAGCGGGAGTATTTTGGAACCTTTTAAGTTTAAAATATTATTTAAATTTTTGAAAACTCGTTTTAGTGAAATATTTTTTTATTAATTAAAACATAAATATACATTAATATAAACCTTAATGGCTACGAATAATAATAAAAAAAAAGGCCTTTTCTCTTTTCCAAAGGCGTGGCCGTCTTAATTTTTCCATTCGACTTTTCTTTTAAGAAAAATTATAATTCTTATCTTCAAATTTGATTTTTTACATTTAAATTTCTAAATTTTCTGAATGTAAAAATATATAGTTTAGAAGATACAAAGTTGTAATTGGGGATGTGTCAGAAATTGAAAAATTGATCAACAATTTCATCAGAAATCGGTCCAAACCGAACCGCACACACCCCTAATGTTATATCCATAGGAGTCGTCATTCAAAGGATCAAAATAAAAGTTAATGAAACAAATATCATAAATAGGATGGTTAATTCTAATATTGAAAATAAAATCACTTAAAAGTCGTTCATAAAAAACTATTGTGTGAAATAATACCGATATATTTTATTTAAACTTGAAACGGGACTAAGTTCTTATAATTTATAACTAAAAATAGATATATAATTTTATAAAGAATGGTTTAATGTTGCATGCTTTTGAATTTAAAATTATAGTTTGCTTCTTCTAAATAGTAATTGAAGAAACAGTTGTGTAACTTTTGAAGGGAGATAAGATATCTATAAAGTCAATTTTAATTTTTTAAATAATAAAATTTTTTAAAATTTTCAAGTAGAGACATCCGATTCTAAAAGAATCTATTTTAAAAAACGAGCATGGAACATATTTTGTGATTGACTTTGTAAAAAAAAAAGTAGGGTGTTAAAAAAAATCATTAATTAGTTAAGTTAAAATTTCTCAATAATCGACTTTCAACAATTTCAATATCAACCTCGACACACGTGAAAAGTAGGGTGTATTTCAAGAAGTTCGTAATATCGCTACAATTTTGTAACGGCTCAAACTCACAGCTAGTAGATATTGTCATTTTTTAGCTTCTCTTTTAGACTTCCGTTGTCTACTAGGAAAAAAAATTTCACATTTTTATGAAGAATACTTTGTTCTCCTCCCCAATCGATATGGAATCTCACAATCCATCCTCCTTCAAGGCCCAAGGTCCTCACTGACACACCGCCCGGTTTCTGACTCTAATATCATTTGTAACGACCCAAGCCTACCACTAACAGATATTGTCCTCTTTGAACTTTCCCTTTCGAACCCCTCAAGATTTTTAAAACGTGTATGCGAGGGATAGGTTTCCATACCGTTATAAAGAACGTTTCGTTCTCCTCCCCAACCGATTTGAGATCTTACAATTCACCCCCTTTAAGAGACCTAATGTCCTCATTGGCACTCGTTCCTCTCTCCAATGTCCACCCCCTTCATGGCTTAGCATCATCGCTGCACTCATTCCTATATCCACCCCCTTCAGGGCCTAGCATCTTCGTTGGCACTCGTTTCTCTCTCTAATCGATGTGGAATCTCACAATCCATTTGTAACCGTTCAAGCCCGCCACCAACAGATGTCCTTTTTGGACTTCCAGGTTTTTAAACACATCTACTAGATAGAGATCTCCACACCTTTATAAATAATGTTTCGTTTTCCTTCTCCAACCGATGTGGGATCTCACAAATTTGCTTATAATGTTCCCCTATGATAGATATCCAGTGACATTAGGAATTAGGAAACTTAAATAAGAACAAAAAAGTTACTAAATTAAGAGTATACCATACCCTTTTCAAAAAAAAAAAAAAAAAAAAAAAAAAAAAAAA